ATTATTAGGATGAAGAGGGAAAAAAAGTAACCAGAATAAGAGGATAGGTATCAAATTGACTTTACACAGCTTTTCTTTGATCATGACTTTCAATTGGTGTTTACATCATCACCTGAGAGCCGACTTTATAAATGCCATATGGTTATAGTCAGAGTGGGATTTGAAGACAAAAAAAATCAAACTGTCATAATGCTAGGCATGTCCAATTTTCCATCAGCACAAACAACACATTGGTCTAGGTTTCTTTTTTTCAGCAGTAGAGATTATTTCCAACAAGAAATCAGGCCTTTTTTTTTTTTTTTTTTTTTTTTTTTGGAGGATTAGAGCTACTTTCAGGGTGTTTTAAAAACTTAGAATAATTCCACATGCCATTTTTAAATGTAGTATGGTGTGGGTTCCCTGTTCCCCACATGGAGTTATTATTGTAGTAGAGCAGATATATATAACTTACTAACATCCAAAACATTATAAAAGCAAAATAATAGTTTTATTTAAAAACCTCAGGAGAAAAGATGTGGCATCCATTTTATTGTCTTTAAAGAGCAGAAATGTCATATCACTAAAGCAAAATAATCATGATCAGCAGTTGAAAAATTTACGGCAAACAACAACAAAAAAGAAAGCATGAAATCTGCCTGGAGGGCCATAAACTATTAAACGTGTTTACAGCAGTATATAGAAAATGGGGAAAAGTTGAGTTGAAAAATGGTATAACTGTAGAAATCAATGGGGGTTTTATGGTTTAAGAAAAAAGTTGTGTTTATTTTCCCAATTGCATATCTTCTTAGTTTATTGATACCTTCTTTTATCCATTGGTCGGTGATGACATTATTAATATTTCTATGAATATGTGTAGAATTTGTAATAAATGGGTTAGGGAAAAAGCATCTGATAGCAGCATATTTACTTCTGTAAGTCTTACTTTTTAAAATTATGTTTGAGCCTTTATCTATGCATTTATCCTTTTAGAGTTTCTCATAAAAGTCAGATATTACCTCTTGCCATCTCTTAAACTCTGTAAGTGCTGTTCATGAAAATCAAATTAGGCTTTTCTTGAGCTCCCTATTTAAAATTGCTAGTTGCTGATCCCACTCTAGATGCTAGCTGCTGATCCCACTCTAGATACCCTTTAACCTAAGTTGCTCCCATTGCCCTAAGCATCTTGCACATGTGATATAATTCATGTATTCATTATATTTACTGCTTGTTTTTGTCTCGCTCTGCATAAGAGAACTGACTCTCATTTATTATGGTGTTTGCCTAGAAAGGCACCTGTGCCTGATGAATTAATGAATGAAAGAATGAACTTCTAGTGATAATAATAGCTAAAAATTACTACGTGCTTTTCTGTGTACTAAGCATTGTTTTAATGACTACCTATGTATAAATTCGTCTATTCTTCAGAACACCCCATGAGGTCAGTGCTGTTATAATCCTTATTAAACAAATGAGAAAATTAAGCCACACAGAAGTGAAGCAACTTGATGGTCACTTAGCTAGTTGGTTTATATGACTAACAAGTGGCAAAATCGGGGTAGCAATGCAGTCTGTCCTGCTTCTGAGGTCATAATCTTACCCATTAAACTAAACTGCCTATAGATCGTAAACCTAGACTTATGGGGAAAATTGTATTTTCATAAATAAGTAGCTCTCAGTATTTTTAATGTCTCAACACACATGAAGGATTATGCCCCATACATCTTGAAAATAATGCCTTTCTAAGGGAGGCTGGAGAGGTAAGGATGAGGATTGCTGGCAGTTTTCTACAGGCTAGGTTACAGCATCCACTTTCTAACCAACCTCTCACACCACTCTTGAAAACCACCACCTTGATTTGACTTTTGAAAAAGTCTGCAATTTCTCAAGATGTCAGTTTTCTCATTCTAAAATGTGGATTCTGGAATATAAGCTATCAAATGTCTTTCTCTGTCCTAGTTCCATGGTTCTATAAATTGAATTCTATGCTCAGATGTAAAGGGGAAGTATTGACAGCAGAAAGAGGGAAAAGCCTTTTCCTGTACCAAATGCTGGTCAAGTCCTTTTTCTATTTGAACTTTAGTAGAAATTGCACAGGGTTTCTTAGTAAAATAGAAATTAAATGAAAGTTGAAAAAGAGATTGAAGATAGAAAAGTAAAGGCTTTTCCAGAATCCAAAATGGCCTTTGGATTTTTACTACAGCACTGGGCTTTTCTGAGCAGATCCATGAAGTTTTTACTTATTTGGCATACTTGACAGTGGATAGTCCACATTTTCATTTCAGAACACAAGTTGTTTTATATTGTTTTTCTGTTCATTAGATGATTTTTCTCCTTCAACTCTCACAATGGGACATAATTTCTGGCTCAAATGCTTTGCCTTATCTTTCTACACTCACTTATGGAGATTGTTTCTCTCCCAGATTTTATAGTCATCATAATAGTAATCATATCAAAATCTGGTCAATGCTGACTTAACTATACTATCACCTTAAAAAAATAAAATCTCAAAATATCTACATGTCATTGGGACCTTTATATTCTGTTATCGAAAAGTAAGATAGCACAACCTCTTTGGAAATCAGTCTGACAGTTTCTCCAAAGGTTACCCATAGCATTACCATATGACACAGTAATTCCACTCATGAATATATATCCAAGAAAAATGCACATAAAAATTTGAACGCGAAGGCTCAAAACAGCATTGCTGGCAATAGTCAAGAAGTGGAAGTGATTCTAAATGTTCATGAATTGATGTATGGATAAATTAAATGTAGTATGACTATGCAATGCAATATTATTTAGGAAAAGAAGTGAAGTACTGCTTTGTGCTACAACAATGGATGAGTGTTTTTAAGTTACGTGAGTGAAAGAAGCTGATCACAAAATATACAAACATACATTTTATAATTTCATTCATATGAAAAATCCAGAATAGCCAGATCTACAGAGACAAAAGGTAGATTAATGGCTGCCTACAGCTGAGATGGCTTGGGAGGAAATGAGGAGCAACTGCTAATGAACTTAAGAATGTTTTTTGTTTTGATTAAAATGTTCTAAAATTGGTTGTGGTGGTGGCTGTACAACTGTGAATATATTAAAAACTATTGAATTGTATACTTTAAATGGGTGATTTTTATGATATGTGAATTATGCTTTATTAAGATATATGTATGGATGTATGTGTGTCTGCTGGTGTGTGCATGTGTGTGTATATATATAATCTCCACACAAATGTATCATTTTACCTAGAGTAAATAGAATCAAAACTAATTAACAATCTACTCTCCCATTTTGCTATTGCCACTATTCTTTGGTTTTAAAATGTGCATGTATTAACAAAGCACATAGTGATGGTGGTTACATTAAAGGAAATTATGTATGTATGAGTGTTTTGTGGTTATTGTCATAGGTGATGAAAGCTATGTTCCAGTATTAAACAGAAAATCAATATTATTCTATATGCTAAGATTTTTGAGCCAGTATAAAGTAAATGATTTTTTTTTTGTATTTATAAGATCTATGAAGCTTCCAACCAATCTATATGTAATGGCACAGGACCTTAAAAATAGAAATGTATTTGTAACCAAAATATTGCATAAACAGGTGGTTTTATAATTAAGATTATCCGAACTTCTTAATAACCTGTATTGAACATGAACTGCTAACAGTACACAATTGGTGTCTTATTCCTTTTATAATAATGTTTTTAGTGTTCCACTGAAACATGGCCAGTAAATGTGCAATATTCTTAGTTACCATTATGAGGGATTCTGTATATTACAGTCTCTCCACTGTCTCTGCTGTTAGCTGGAAAAATGCTGGGAGCAACGGCAGCTACTATCAACAGGGAGCCATATTAATTATTTGAAATGTGCCTCATAAGAGGAATCAGCAGAGTTTATTACAAGTTGAATATTACTTGAAATGGGAAGGTTACTCCAACTGTTATCATAATCTATGTATCATTAACTTTCCTTGTTTAGGAAAAGAGATTAACAACCCTGTAAATTGCTATAGTAAATGTATAAAATATACAACTGCATATTCCCATTGTAGAAAGAAAATAGTGAGTCCTCCACTCCCACTCAAACCTTCTGTATATAAAGTAGCTTTAGAAATTGAACTGACTCTATAATTATGCTTCCTTGCCTCAAAATCCTATTTGCGTATTATCAGTATACAAACTATGGCTACTTCGAGCATTAGATGATTCTTTTATATTTAAGCTAACACTTTTTCAAATCAGTATCTTGGCCTTAAAATTAACTTTACCTCTTTCATCTCATAAGACAGAAAGTATATTACAAATATATATGCTAGCTAATAGGCTAATAGAATGCTTTGCAAGGAACACAGAATTAATCCAGCTACTTTCTGTTTAATTGTGGTTAGTTGTTTTTTCATTAAATACAGATAGGAATACTTTTGTACTCAAGTAGTGGAGGTGAATCTCAAAAGGTAAAATACAAATCAATCATAGTTGTAAAGTGAGCTAGATAAACGTTTCTCAAAGTGTTATTTGTACATTGGGCGCCAGTCTGCAGACTGTTTATTACTGAGATGCACTGAAGTAGATGCAGATATTGAGAGAGTTTAGAAATACTTACAGTAAATAAATAGACCAGATAATATTTATTTAATCTAACAACCAAAAATAAGGACTTTTGTTTTATATGTCTTTTCTTTGATTTTTTTTTTTTACTTTTCCTTATAACTCTTTTTTATTGTGTTTTTAACATTATCACTCCACAACAAATTTGTAATGAAACAATAACAAAAAAAAAAAAAAAAGAAGAAGAAGAAGAAGGAACAATTTAGATTACTAGAGAAGCACTGCTTTAATTGAGTGATATTTGGATGACACGTTGTTTTTATGTTTGGGCAGATATGTCTATACTCTATAATTTAGCCTACTATTTTAGTTTGGAGTGAGTGAGATAATGTGATACCATAAAAACAATTTTTAAAGGGGAAAGACACACCCACAATATCTTCTTATCAAATTTTTTTTGGGTCCACAGGGCAGACACATCATGGACAAGTTTCATACATTTCTCCACCAATTCACCTTGACTCTGAGCTAGAAAGACCGTCTGTTAAAGGTAAGTTTTCTTTATGTAAAGAAAAAGTAACTACTCATTGTTTGATGAAAGCAATGAATCAAATTAAAGATGGTTGTGCTCATGTATGTTGTAGTACAGTGTCTGTTCAAAAAGCAGGGGTAAAATGAAGTATGTGAGTAATCTGCAGCTAAGGCAAGTCTCATTTATAAACAAAAATGTGAAATATTTCTCCAAGAAATGTTTGTAAATCAAAATACAATGGCTTCAATAAATGAGTATTTATAGAGATTCAACTAGGGGAGGACTAGTTGAATACCAATTTAGATTTAGAAATGACCAGATAACCATTACTTTTTTAGTGGGACTCTATTTTTCTACTACCCTATTTTTTTTTTTTTTACATTAAGGTATATTAATCTAAGTCACATTGACAGGTTTTTTCCCCTTAAAATAATATTTTATTATTATTCTTTTTAAGTCATTTTTGTATTAACATTATTTAGTTTTAAAAATATATATTAAAATTATGTATTTTTAAATTGATGCCACCTGTTTTAGTTAGAGATTTTTGTAAATAATCATACAAAATAAAAATTAAAGGTAACATTTACTATCTCATAATCCAAATATAAATTGAATCCTTCTGCTTTTAAATAAATATTTATCAGTGACTTTCAAAATGTTTCTTAGTTCTCAAAGCTGATATGTGGACATGCCTTTTAATTTTGTAAATAGCAAATATTACAAGGTTGGCTTTTTGGTTTTAAGTAATGCTGTATATTTTCTTATATTTTCAACAGCATTCATTGCTTAATAAAATAAAACTGACTTTTATGAACATGTTTTCTGTAAAGGCTATTTTCTCTCTTAGGAGTTTCTTATCTCTTCTTGTCTAATTAATGTTTCCACCAACATTTTAAGGCCCTGCTTTGTGTTAGTTTCCCTATTAAGTTTTCCCTGACTGTGTGATAGGGTGTACCTATGTGCACATGTCAGTTTTCCAAATGCCCCCTGTGCTTGCCTCAGTTATTAAACACTTAAGACATTGGGTTTTATTTTGTGGCACGCATGTTCCTTTCCCTTATCTGTATGCTCCTTGAGGGCACAGAGTGGCACACTTGTTATTTTTCCCCAAGTCATTGGTCTGTGCTTTGCAGTTCATGGAAACTCATTAAATGATTTCTAAGACACTGACAGTGAAGGTGACAGCCTAGATCCTAAAGGATGCATCTGCGCTTTATTAGAGAAAAAGGGAGGAGAAATGATACACGAATCCCATGAAGAGGAAGAAAAATGAGACAAAACATAACTATGTGAAGGATTTTTAAGGAAGCGTGCTGGATGCACAGCAAAAGGGGAGCGGTTCTAGAGGGGAAGACTCCAGAAGGTAGCAAGGCAGATTGTGGTGGATTCTGTATCTCATACCAAAGAGTCTGTTTTATCCCAGATAAAAACAGTAAATATTTTAAATTATTTTTCCCCATGTCAGTTGGACGTTACATCATAACACTATCAGTTCTAGATATGAAAAACATATTTCTGGTGTTAGTGTAGGTGATGAGCTGATTGGAGAAGAGACTGGCAGAGGGGGCTTTTCAGCAGTTCAGATAAAAGATGATGGGGAAATTAGGAGAGTGTCCCTGGCAATGTGAGGATCTGATAAATGTTTTGAAGAGACATGACATTTGAATGAATAGATACAGGGAAAGGGGCAGAAATGCCTCTGTGGTTTCTATATTGATTAACTTCTTGGATGCTGCTATGGTTTGAATGTATGTATCCCTGCCAAAATTCATACTGAAAGTTAATCCTCAGTGCAACTGTATTAGTATTAAAAGGTAGACCTTTAGGAGGTGATTAGGCCATGAGGGCAATGCTGTAGTGAATGGATTCATGGCCTTATAAAAGGGCTAGAGGAAAGTAGATAGGTTCTTTTTTGCTCTTATGCCTTCTCTACTGTGAGGACGCAGCAGGAGGCACCATCTTGAAAACAGAGAGCAGCCCTCATCAGACACTAAATCTTCTAGTCCCTAACCATGGGCTTCTCAGCCTCCAGAACTGCAAGAAAATAAATTTCTATTATTTGTAAATTACGCCGTCTCAGGTATTTTGTTATAGCAGCACAAATGGACTGAGATAGATGCTTATGACATAATTGCTCATCATGAGAAATAGATAGGAATTATAAATCAATGCATTGCCTTAGACACATTAATTCTTGGTAGAATGTTCCTACCAAACTTGAAAGATAGAGTCCTACTTATGCAAATTAGTGACTTCAATAGAATTCAGTTCTTCATACATGATCCCAATATGATTTGAGAGAGTACTACTTTAAGGTCATGGATAAGACAGTATAATGATCTACTTCAAAACTTAGTGACTTAAAACAAGCAATGTGTATTCTAGTTTTGAGAATTGGTTAATGTCTACTGACTTAGCTGGGGCTGAATGTTTTATAGTTAACAGGCTGGATGGTTTTGCAAAGGAAGTGACTCACTCACATTTTTGAAAATTGCCTTGATGTCTCTGGGGTGATGGCCACATGCCTCTCTCATCATTCAGCAGGTTGCTGTCATGTTCCTTGATGTCCCATTAGCCAAAGCAAGTCACAAAGCAAACTCAATTTAATAGAGCAGAAATAGTTTATATCACTTGATTGAGGAGCCACACTTCAAAGGACCATGAATAAAAGAAGAGGAATTAGAACAATTTATAAATTACCATAGGTAGTCATATAAAAAGTAAAATAAATGTAAAATCAACAAGACAAAAGTGACTGATAAAGGGATTTTGAAGCCAATAAATGGCCAGGTGCAGTGGCTCACACTTGTAGTTCCAACTGATGGTGGTGGTGACCTGTCTGAAGCAGCCACTGAGGGGATGCCGGCTGCAGCAGGGGAGGTGCAGCTGGGGCTGCATGCTCTGCAGAGCTGATAGGGGCTGGGGACAGGTGCCCCCTACCGAGTTAAAGGGGCAGGAACCCTGCACCACTGGGTGCAGCTTTAACTTCCTAGTGGCAGCTCCAGACCCAGCCATCCCTGAACTCTCAGGGGCCCAGGAAGACCCCGCTGCCACTCCAAGCTTGGAAGTGCCTGATCCTGCTCCCTGGCCTTTCCCTGCTCCTGGTACTCATTCCAATTTCAGAGCAAAGTTGAAGCCGGGTGTGGGTACTGTTGCAACCTGACTGAGTGTGCATGTGCTTGGGGTGGTGCTGACATACCAGCCCTTCTCCACCGCCTTGGCCCCCTCTGAAACTTTGAGCAGTGACAAGCTCAGGAGGGAAGCCCAGGTTTGGGAGGCTGAGGGTAGCTTGGCACAGGCCTACAGATGCCCCCAGTCATGAACAGCCTGGGCAACATGGATGGCATGATGAAGGCAGGTTCCTGGGCTGAAAGGGTCAGGTCACCGGTTTAAACCCCACTGTCAAGGCAGGGATGGTCTAAAGCCTGGGGGCTAGGCTACCAGTTCTGGGTATAGTCTGTGTCCTGGAGTGAGAACTTATGGTGCTTTTTTCAAGCACTCCTATGGCTGCCCATGGACCAGTTGGCATGTGCTTCCACACTCCTGTGTGGATAAGAACCCCAGACCCAGACTCAGCTGTACTTGAGCAGACATTGGGATGACCTGCCTGCAGAAGGGAACTATCCACTTCCAGTCTCCTCTCCACTGAGAGCTGAACACTCATAAGGATGACATGCCTATGGAGAGAAGCTACCCACTTTGGGTCTCTTGAGAGCCATTCTGTTCCTCAGTGAAGCTCCTCTCCACCCTCCTCACTGTATTAGTTTGTTCTCACTCTGCAAATAAAGACATAACTGAGACTGGGTAATTTATAAAGGAAAGGAGATTTAATGGATTCACAGTTCCACATGGCTGGGGAGGCCTCATGGTCTCATAATCATGGCAGAAGGTTAAAGGCACATCTTACATGGTGGCAGATAAGAGAGAATGAACGAGCCAAGCAAAAAGGGAAACTCCTTATAAATCATCAGATCTCATGAGACTTGTTCACTACCACAAGAGCAGTATAGAGGAGGAAACCGCCCCCATGATTCTATTATTTCCCGCTCGGTCCCTCCCATAACACATGAGAATTATGAGAGGTACAATGCAAGATGATATTTGGGTGGGGACACAGCCAAACCATATCATTCCAGCCCTGGCACCTCCCATATCTCATGTCCTCATGTTTCAAAACCAATCATGCCTTTCCAACAGTTCCCCAAAGTCTTAACTAATTTTAGCATTAACTCAAAAGTCCATGGTCCAAAGTTTCATTTGAGACAAGTATTTATTTAATGCCTATCCCCCTCACTTTAGCATTAACTCAAAAGTCCGTGGTCCAAAGTTTTATTTGAGACAAGACAAATCTCTTCTGCCTATGAGCCTGTAAAATCAAAAGCAACTTCGTTACTCACTAGATACAATTGGGGAATAGGCATTAGATAAATACAGCCATTCCAAAGGGAGAACTTGGCCAAAATAAAGGGGCTACAGCCCCCAATGCAAGTCTGAAATTCAAAAGGGTAGTCATTAAACGTTTAAATTACAAAATGACCTCCTTTGACTCCATGTCTCACATCCTGGTCACACTGATGCAAGAGGTGGGTTCCCATGGTTTTGGGCAGCTCCATACCTGTGACTTTGCATGGCATAGCCCTTCATAAGCTGGCACTAAGTGTCTGCAGTTTTCCCTGGTGAACGGTGCAAACTGTCAGTGGATCTACCGTTTTGTGGTCTGGAAGACAGTAACCCTATTCTCATAGCTCCACTAGGCAGTACCCCAATGGGGACTCTGTGTGGATACTTCAACCCCACATTTCCCTTCCACACTTCCTAGCAGATGTGCTCCATAAGGTCTCTGCCTCTGCAGCAAACTTCTGCCTGAGCATCCAGACATTTCCATACATCCTCTGAAATCTAGGCAGAGGTTCGCAAACCTCAGTTTTTTACTTCTGTGCACTCACGGGTTCAACACCACATTGAAGGTGCTAAGGCTTGGAGCTTGCACCCTCTGAAGCCACAGCCTGAGCTGT